GGCGGCATGCGGGAGGGCCGGGCGGGACCCCCGCTGAAGAGATGGAGTGGAAGGCGGGGGCAGAGGATGCCGAGCATGAGTAGCACTCCCAGGCCTGTCGGGCCTGCCGCGCAGGCGGCCTGCCCTGGTGCCCCCCGTCTGAACCCCCGCATGCCACCGCGATGCGCGGCGGGGCACCCACCCGAGCAGTTCTGGTTGCCCGTCTCCTCCCCCTCGTCCCAGTTGCGCATGAACACGCCCACCACCTCGTACCCCTGCCACTGCAGCAGCAGCGCCGCCACGGCCGAGTCCACGCCGCCGCTGATGCCCACCGCCACGCGGCGGCCGCGGCCGGGCAGGTCAGCGCCTGCTGCGGAGTGCATGCCGCGTGCCTGCTGTGCTGCTGCCACTGCCCCAGCGACTGATGCTGATGCTGCGGGTTGGTGTGGGGCTGGGGCGGGGCGGGGCGGGCCCAAGCCGGCATGCAGCAGCCGCAGCAGGGCACCCGACAGCTCGGCCGCAGACGCTGGAAGGCTGCCGGCGGCGGCCAGCGGTGCTGCGGCATGGCCCGTGCCGCCCAGCCCGCAGGCAGCCTGCCGCAGCGCATGCTGCACCAGCCATGGCAACCGCTCCATTCGCCCGCTGCAAGCCCTCCTGCTGCTCACCGGTCTTTATCCTTGCCTCCTTCCCTTCCTGCTGCTGCTCCCGCTAGCTGCTCCGTACCCTGCTCAGCCGCTGGCTGGCCCGCTGCCTGCTGCGTCGAGGGGCTGCCGTCCGCCCCTGGTTCGCCAAACAGCTCCCGCTGCTGCTCCTCTGGAGTCACAGTGCCCGTCTGGATGACCAGCCTGCAGGGAGGCAGCCCATACGACACAGATGCATGGCCTGCCTGCCTGCCTGCCCTGCCTGCCTGCATGCGCATCCCCGTGCCAGGCCAGCCCGGCCCCCACTCCTGCTCACCAGTTGATGGACAGCTGCAGGGCCAGCGCCAGCAGCAGCAGGCCGATGATGTGCGGCAGCAGGTGGTCGGGGAGGCCCAGGGGCAGGAAGATGAGGGTGGTGCAGACCAGGGCGCAGCCGATGAGGCAGAGGTTGATGAGCAGCAGGGTCACATTCTGCGGGGGCGGGGCCGCGCTCGGCGGCAGGCGGGGAACGGCGGCAGCGGTAGTGGCTGCGGCGTTCACAGCAGCGGGATCGGCCTGAGGCGCATCCTCTGCCGCATCCGAGCCACTGCCTGCGCTGCGGCCACCTACATTGGTTCCGCGGGTCACAGCGCCGTAGGCGATTGCCTCCAGGGGCAGCATGTCACAGGCCAGCACCTGATTTTTGCACCCCGGTCCAGAGTGCAGGGCGGTGATTGGGAGGCCAGCCAGGGAGCAAGTCCAAGGGCACTGCCAGTTTCTTCCTCATGGCGGCGTGGCCAGCAGCCCCATGACGAAAAAAACACCCTGCTGCCGCCATTGATCGCGCCTTGCATTCGGCCACACGCACTGCCGCCCCCCGGCAGGTGATGGAGTGAGGAGTGGGCGATCAGAGTTCCTGCTATGTCGAGGCTATCAGGGGCGGTCTGCCATCAACGAGCGCTGCCCGCCAGGCATCTAACAGTCCGAGCGGCGGCCCCTCGGCTGCCGAGCCCCGCGGCAGCCACCCCGCCATGCTGCTGGCGCCCAGCCTGGCCTCAGCATTGTAGGCACGCGGCGCCCCAGCGCAGGAGACAAGCGCCACAGCGACGGGTGGCCACCTGCAGCAGCAGCAGCCTACCACACCTGGCGGGCTACCAGGCGGGCGGCGGCAGCGGCGCCAGCCGCACCACCTACACCAACAGCGGCAGCCCGGAGAGGACGCTCAGCGATGTGATACACTGGACGATAAACCTGCCCTGGCAGAAGGCCTTCTCCTGGTTTGTGGTGGCCGTGATGGCCAGCCAGCTGCGCGACTTCTTCGGGGTGAGGCGGGGCCTGGCCCTCTCGTCTGCACGCACCGGGCAGGCGCCCTGCAGGGTTGCATTGACAGCGGCGAGAGCATGCATTGCCGGCCAGGACGGTGCGGCGCGCCAGACGAGCTAGGGAGGAGGGCGAGCGGTGCAAACAGTGCCGCGCCCCAGCCCCTGGCTCCATTCTGGCTCCGCGCCGATCCTCCCCCTCCTTGCTCTCCCCACCCCCACCCCCACAGATCACCATGGGGACCTTCATCGTGTCCTTTGTGGGCAACGGCTTCGTGCAGACCGGCCACGCCTGGCTGCCGCTCAACCGCTTCTCGCCGCAGGCGCGCGGCGCGCCGCCCCCGCCTGCTTCTCACGCACCACGCCCTCCCCTCCTCGCCTCCCCCGCCCCCGCTCACACGCTCTCCCACTCCTCACCCGCCCGATGATCCGGCACCCCACCCCTCCCAGCTTCCAGACCCTAAAACACCACACCCCCGCCCCCCCCGCCCTCCCCCCTCCTGTGCAGGACCGCCGCCGCTTCCTGGTCATCGCCTACTACACCGCCATCGTCTCCCTCTTCACCCTCTTTGGCGTGCTCATCATCCCCGACGTCGTGCGCGAGGGCGCCGACTTTGTGAGCCGGCTGCAGACGGAGAACCTGTGGGTGGTGGTGCTGGAGAAGATGCGCAAGGGGCTGGGGTGAGGCGGCTGGCTGAGGCTGGCTGGGGCTGGGGCTGGCTGGGGCTGCGTCGGGCTGCGGCTGGCTGCTGCTGTGCCTGCGGCTGTGCTGTGGCTGCGGCTGTGCCTGTGCCTGTGGCGGGCTGGGGGGACGCCGCCCCAGCTGCCCTGCTGCCGGCTGGTGGCGCAGCAGCCGCCGAAAGCGGGGCGCTGGCCTGGCTGCGCAGCGGGCGGGTGGAGGGGCCGGCATGGCGGCCGGCCCGGGGCCAGCCTGCGCTGCGCTGCGGCTGTGCCGGTCTCTCTGCCCGGAGCGCCTCCCATGCCATCACAACTCCACCACACTTCCCATCGCGGCCTCGCCTCCCGTCTGCTTCCCTCCCGCGCCCTGCCGTGCCCCGCAGCGAGGGTGTGATGGACAGCCTTGAGCGCTTCCTGCTCATCGCCTCCAGCGACGACGTCACCCGCGCCATCGACTTTGCCACGCTGGACACGATCGCGGGCAACGCGCGCACGCAGGTGGCAGGGCGGCCGCGGGGGCCTGCGGCGGCTGGCCGGCTGTCCGCGTGCGGCGGCGGCGCTGAGTGAAAGCCCGAAGCCCGCGTGTGGAGCTGGCCCCTCTTGCCTGCCTGCCATCCCTGCCATCCCCACAACCCGACGCACCCACCCCGCTGCTGCCCCCCTCCACCCCCCCCTCCCCCCACCCCCCTGCAGTACCTGGGCATGGCGCTGCAGAATGTACTGCGGCAGTACACCAACGCCGCCGCCTCCATCGTCTCCGACCTCCTCTCATTCACCACCAAGTTTGCCATACAGGCGCGCACCCAAACGCCGCCGCCTGCCCGCCGCCTGCCGCCTGCCTGCCTCCGCCACCTGCTGCCGCCCTCTGCTGCCTCCCGCTGCGCCCATGCTGGGGCTTGGTGCCAGCGCCGCTGCACGCGTGCACCCTGCATGCCCGCCCGCTGCCCCCTCGGCGCCTCCCCTCCCGGTGATTAGAGCATTTTGTAATCTGAGCAACTGGCGCGGCGCGGGGGCGCGTTGCCCCCGGGGGCTGCGCCCGCTGGGTACGACCCCGGATGCGGCGGCGCCCGCTGTGCGCCAGCCGTGGCCCCGTGCCCAGGCATGGCGGCCGCGTACGGCTGGTGCGCCCCCTGCTGTGAAAAGGCGAAGATGAGGGAGGGCCTGCGGCTGCACCCGAGCCACCGAAGCCTGCGCCTGCACTTGCACCCGCACGCGCCGCATGCCATGCCGCCCACGCCTGCGCGCATGCGCGCCACACAGGCGCCGGCGACGCCTCCCCCCGCCTGCTGCCTCGCCCCACGTTCTGAAAAGGGGCCTGCCTGCTGCCCTGGCCTCACCCCACCCCCACCCCACCCGCCGCCCTGTGCCCGCCCCCTGCCCCCTGCCCCCTCCCCTGCAGGTCGGCATCTCCCTCATCCTCTCCTTCATGGTGGTGTGGGACCTACCCACCATCCAGCGCGGCGTGCAGAGCCTGCGCACCTCACGCGTCGCCCCCATTTACAACACCGTCGCGCCCAGCCTGGAGATCTTCGCCACGCTGTTTGGCAAGGCGCTGCAGGCGCAGGTGGGGGCGCCGGAAAGGGTGCCAGCGGGGCGCCAGCGAGGCGCCAGCGGGGCACCAGCGGGGCGCCAGCCCAGGGTCTGGCGCGGGCAGTGCCGGCGGCGCGTGTCACCGTTGCCTGGGCATGCCGGCGCCGGGGCTCCCGCTGCCGCCTGCGCAGCGCATCGAGTCCCCCCGCCTGCGCGCCTGCCTGCCCCCTTGCCCCCACACACGCAGGCGCGCATCGCCGCCGTCAACACCATACTCACCTGCCTGGGCATGTGGGCGCTGCAGCTGCCGGGCGTGGGCCTGCTGTCGCTCTTTGTCTTTGTCTGCGGCTTCATCCCCATTGCCGGAGTCATCATCTCCACGGTGCCCATCGGCTTTGTGGCCCTCACCGAGTATGGGTTCACAAAGGTGCGGCGCCTGGGTAGTAGTGGTGGTGGGGTGGTGGTGGGGACAGCGGGCGGGCGGGTGCCAGGGAGGGGAGGGCAGGCAGAAGGCTCGTGGAACCGCGACTGGCGGCGAGGCAGGGGAGATGGGGAGATGGGGGGAGGGGTGGAGCTGCCGCGACGGATCTCTGCCCCGACTGTGCCTGCCCCTGCCCGCCCGGACCCCTCCTGCCTCCTCCCCCCCTGGTGGGCGCAGCTGGCGCTGGTGCTGCTGATGATCACGGGTGTGCACTTTGTGGAGGCCTACGGCCTCAACCCCGCCATCTACTCCGCGCACCTCAAGCTGCACCCGCTGCTGGTGCTGGCGGTGCTGGTGGTGGCGGAGCACAGCCTGGGGGTGTGGAGCCTGCTGCTGGCGGTGCCCCTCACAGTCTTCACCCTTGACTACGTGGTGTCCTACCCAGAGTACACGGCCACGCGGGTGGCGGCGGCGGAGCTGGAGAACGTCAGCATGCAGAGCATGGACGCTGACTAGGCGCGCTGCTGCCGCCCCGGCCGCGTGCATGTGGGCCCGCGCGGACGGACGGCCAGCCCGCCCGCCAGCCAGCCAGCCCGCCGGGTGTGTTCACGGCGGCCTGCCGGCGTTGAGTACGCGGGCCGCTGCCGCCCCGGGCTGCCCCAGCGGCCAGCGCGTGCCGTGCCTGCGCGCCTCTCACGATTGATACTTCCTCTTTTTGGCCCCCCTCTCCATCCCTTCTCTCCCCTGTCCTTTTTTGCAACAAGGCTGCCCCCCTCTGCTCACTCCAATCCCTTATATGCCGGCGGGCGGGCGG